GGTAAACCTGGATACCCAGGTATGCATATTTCAAAGAAGTATTCCCAGTATTTCTAATGCAAGTGGTCTAGGGACCATACAGTGAGATACTGGGTAAGATTATTTTATCCATATGGAAAGTAAAATAGAAATATTAACATTAGCAATTACAGAGCTTAGATTACCATATAAACCTACTATATTTCTTAATCTAATAAAATCACTACAATATATCTTGAATTCTAATATTTTTTCCTAAAGTTATAAGAGATTTATTCATGCTACAGAATCGTGAATACATTGCAACAAATCAGACTATGAAGACCAATGTAATCTCTATGCTCTGTATACTTTCAAATTGGCTTTTCAATAATTTTCTCGAGACTATGTTTCCATTTTATCCAAGATTATAAATGAGAAGTAACACTTATTTAACATTTATTATATATTAAATTGTAAGTTTAAGCAATCTTACTCAATCTTCACAGGAACCCTGTATTTTTTTCTAATAATAAAATTCACTGAAGTACATCTTGAGTTCCAGTGCTTCCAAAAATTGCAAGATAAGAATCATGTGAAAAATGTGTCGTAAGTACACTAAAATATATCAGGGTATGTAAACTGTTATTAAATATAAGCTCTTTTTAATGTCAAAATAGCTTTAAATCTTTTTCCCAGGATGTCTTTATAAACAAGTCAATGATACCTTTATATCCATGATGAAAATAATATTTTGACCATAGCTAGCATCCAAAGTAACGAGGCTGCTGCACAATCAGATGGGTTATTTTGACTTATTTACCATCTAAATAGGACTACCACACAGTCATTCCAATCTATACAGTGAATTCTTTTAAAATCAGTCCAAAAAGATTTTCCAAAAGACTATGTAACAACCCACTTGATATCAGTATTTGAAGGTCACTCCTCAGAAAAGTAAAGGGCTTACTTAAGGTAATTAAAGAAATTACTTGCAGATCACCTTCCAAAGGCTCAGAACTCATATTTAACATAACCAACAGAAAGTCACCCAAATCTCCTTTAGAATTATAATAAATGTGGCTAACATTTATTGACTACTTCTTCTTTGTCAGGTACTGTCTCATGAGCTTTATGTGTACTAACTTATCCAATTCTTTTAAAAGTCCTATGAGGCAGATACAATTAGTATTCCTATTTTAGAAATAAGTACAGAGACTGAAGTACAGAGACTTTTAGCAAACTTGCACAAGGTTACAGTTAAGAAATGGCAGCCAGCGCCCATTTTGTTATACTGCCTCATGAAATTTTAGATTTTATATGTGATAAAAAAAATACAAACATTACAGAAAGGTACGCAACAAAATTTATGTCATCCCTCTACCACTTTTGGGTTACAGTCAATGTATCTCCACACCACCATAAAATGTATGCATGTGTGTGTTTGTGTGTATGCATGTATGTGTTGTGTGTCACACAAATGGATTACTATTAATGGTAAATAGTAACATTTTAGTTTTTTTACTATATACATGTACACATATGTACATACATACATGTTTCAAACTTGTTCAAGTTTATTTGTCAAATAAACACTCCGCAATAAAACTGCTGTGTCAAGGATTATGTGCGTTACAATTCTGATACATACTATCAAACTGCCCTACAAAAAGGTTGCAATGATTTATTACCCTACCAATAATGTGAATACTCAAAATTTAACTTTTACTAGACTTACAGTGTACATAATAGGCAAACAGTATGAATTAGGTAAGTGTTGAATGAATGAACTATTTACTGGCACTCCTAATTATCTACATTTTAAGAAGTATGCTTGAGGGGCGTTAGGATATTATGAACACAAACATCTTGGAAAGCGCCCTGGGTAAGAATCTGGAGAACTGGAGCACTTCCATCAGCACAGTAACGGGGACCAACACTGTCTCTGCACACTCCCCTCCATGCCTCCTCAGTGCACAGCCATATACAACTAAGTCAAATGAACCTTGAGGCTTTCCCAACCTTAGGTTATCTTCTGTTGCTTGGAATAAAAAAAGTCTTAATTGATATGCCAAATGGGTTCTAATGTACACCTGAGTGAAGGACTAAGCTAAATACGTTAGGAGTACAAAGGTTCTATGATAAAAATGATAGGAAAAGGTTAGTTATTCCTTCATTATATCTTACAAGATAAAACAAAGATTCTTTTCACCACTGTATTAACTTATTAGAAGTGAAAGATCTATTTAAAGATCAGGAAAACACACACAAGGTTAGTGAACATGGCATACTCTAGTCCCTCATACACCACTCTTTACACATTTGCCAACAATATCTGATTAAAAGGTAAATCAGATCACATTACTTCTCATTCCAGCTCTTCTTAAAATCCTACAGAGTTGGTTTCCTTACCATGACCTAAAGACTCTGGTTTCTGCCTACCTCTTCAACTATCTTCTACCACTGTCCCCTCTGACTTATTCTGAAACCATTCTTGCCTTCTTCCCATTCTTTGAACACACCAATGCTGCTTTCTGCTTTAGGACTTTTGTTCTGGCTGTCCCCTCTGCCCAGAAGGCTCTGACCCCAGACCTTCCCATGAGCAGCTTCGTTTTGTTATCCACACCTCTCTTCAAATAGCTCTTCTTCTGACTCTCCTTGACCACTCCACAGAAAGAAACCCTACCCCCACTCCAGTCTCCCTCTATCCCATTTTATGACCCTCTTATTACTTGTACACTATCTATAATTTTTCACCACTGTATCGAGTAGTGCTTGGCATTTCTCACCACTGTATCGAGTAGTGCTTGGCATTTTATGAGTCCTAAACAAATATTTGCTGAACGATTAGGTGAAAAGCACAGAAAAATAATATGCAAACCACTTTGACTATAGCAAAGACAGGGTAATAAATATTGGAAAATCAAAAAGAAAACAGAATAAGATGACTATTCTGGCCCCACTTACTCAGTTGGGTTGGTAATATGAATACAAGGAATACAATGGATAAATCATTAAGTGGATTGAATTAATGCATTTTGTTAAAAACCATTCTCTGGAGGCCATTTACTTATGGTCATCAAGTCGTTCTCTATTCAACTTTCTTTTTCGTTACTCATAACAAAATATAATTAGGAAAGGAATGATAACTTGTAAATAATCTACTAACCAAGGTTTTAAATTTAAATTGCAAAGTAATTTCATTCCAGGTTAAACCAGAAACTTATCATCTGCTTTACTTGGTAGAAAATTGGCCACAGAAAAATTTTCATGGCACCCTCTTTCAGGAGACAGATTTCTTTCATTCAGAAGTTTTAAAATGCATTCTCAATCTTTAAGTTCTTAGGCCTTTGACAAACTCTTCAGAAAAATAAAACTATTTGAGAGTATTCAAATACTTCAAACATTAAAAAATTAAAACTGAATAGGTCATACGTGTAATTAACCAAGTATGATTCTTGTCACTGCTTCCCTGTCTCACCTCTGATATCAGGCATGTAATTGACTTTGTTATTAAATGTATTTATCTTTTAATAAAGTTTGCTTATTTAAGTTGAAGTTTAAATTGGGACAGGAAAATGGGATAGGAAAGTGTCATCTCCGAAACATCCGACAATTCAGTTCACTTCTGTTAGGAAACGGAATTTCTTTTGCTATCTCTTCTCATGTGTAGTAAATGAAGCACATCACTTGATAGCCATCTCATATATGGTTATTTGTATTTTCAGTTATCAGTAACACCTTAAACTGCAAGAAAAAGGGGCAATTTCTAAGCAAAGAAATTTTATTAAGGCCCGTGCACCTAAAATCTATCCTATTTTTACATATCAGAAGGGAATAAGTATTTCAGTAAAATGTTACTAAACTATTTTACAGATTGTTATCTAATCAAAGTAGACTTTGATTCAGTTATTTGAAGAAGCCTAAAAAAAACAGTAAGCAATATAAAAGGCATGACTTATGCTTTGTGGAACTAAAGAATAAAAAATACTATTATTTTCATGAAAATTATAAACATTATAAAATTTTCATTCAAAATAGATGTAAGAGTCCCAAGATTCCATTTTCCCCTCTTTGTTCCTGTTTTCTTTTGAATTGTCATATGATAATCAAACCTCCCCACTGTCTAACTTAATGCCAGACATGTAAGAAGTAGTTAATGTATCTATTGGGAATGACTTAATTTCTTGCCTCTAATCACTCATAACCCATCAACTTACTAACACAAGATATATACTGATAATGTTAAACTTAAGAAAATGACCCAGGCTTGCATATTTTCACATGTAAGTATCATCCAACAGAGTAAAATTTCTTCTCTGAAAAAGCTTAAAAGGACAAAACTTCATTTAATAAGGACACAGTTTCACACCTAATAGCTTGATCTGAATGGGTAATATGTATTTTGAGACCATATTTAAGTCAATGCAATCCACAAGTTATGAATCATGGTAAATATCCTAAGAAGTTGCAGGAATGTACAATGGAGAGGAAAATATCTAAATCAAACTTTTAGAAATAGACGTGAAATATACAGATTAGGATTTCAAACAAAAACCATGACTGAGGTACCTTTGCTGAACTATGAAGCTCTTATTATCCTAAAATTACAATATCCCCATCTGTTAATCTGACATGAACAAGCTGATAAATGAAATCAGAACAACAGTGTATTCTGGCAAAACTAGAAGTTTCCTGAAAGCCTAGAAAAATATGTCCACAACAGATGGATCACTTAGAAAATAAATACATCAATCTGTCAAACTGAGTACTATTCTAATTCCCTAAATTAAAATCAGTAGGAGTTCCAATTTCCAAGAGTCTGTGACATTAGGAAGGCCAAAAAGGAAAAACCTAAAGATGCACATAAACATATCTGATATGACCTAAAGTGTCCTGTTAAACATACTAAATTTAGGTAAAGTCCTTACCAGTTAACTTCTTCACAGGTTGGAGCCGAACACTGATAGACTGATGTGTGAGTAAGGGGGAGGATGGAAGAGAGCGAGACATGCCCTCCATAATCCGAATGTGCTGCATACCTTCACTCACTGGAAGTGGTGGGACGGCGTAGTCTGGCTCAAAAGCACAGTCGCTTTCTGTGGAGATGCCACCTGTTGAGATAGAAAAGGATGAAACAAAGGAGCTGATAAGAAAAGATTCTTCCTTCTCTATTAAAATTTATCTTTTAAGATGATTCAGAACAGCATATACCCACATTGATTCTCACTGTGAAAAGCAAAATAAGGTATTCTCAACACCTACATTCACTTGTATACTTACTGGACACTTAACTCCTGGTGTAGCACTAGGAGATTAAACATGGGAAAAACAGCGTTCCTCTTTGTAAAGCGCTTCACTGTCTCATGAGTGATACAGTCACATAAAAAAATAGTGATGGTACAATTCAGTAAGTGTTACAATTGGAGCACTTTTTTTTTTCCAGTTAACTTCCTGATAACACACATGAAAGAAAATATTCACCTGATGATATTCGCCTTGATGATCCAATATGTGCAATAGCTAGTAGGAACACTGTAATTCTATTTCTTACCCCCTTCTCCAAAAAAGTATGTGAAAATACAAGTGGGTAAGGCTGACATTGTTTTATGGTGATTTTTGAATCTGCCTTAGTATTTTAAAAAGATTAAGTTATTGGCTGTTCATTTCCACTTACATACTGTTGACTTCTGGTAATGGCAAATTACATACTTCAGACCAATGTTTCCTTAAGACAAATCAGAACTATACATATGCTTTAAAATCTTCCTGAAGGCACTGAAGAGTTAATAGTATGATGAAGGATTACAAGAATAAGACTGAAGCCTGGCATTAGGGGCTACTTTTTACTTAGTGACATCTGAGAGACTAAGAAGCTACTGACAGGTTTAAAGAGCTGAAAGGACAAATATTGGAATGCAGGGGAAACCAAGATGCAGAGGGGAAGCTGGTAAAGCTCCAACACTTTGTTTGGAAGCCCAAAGGGCTATGCTCTAAGAGTAAGTAAGAACCAAAGCTAGATTGGCCTTTTACAGGAAAAAAAGCTCAGCTCCAAATGTCTACCACAAAATTAAATTAAGACAATCTTGGATTGCTAATGCCTGCCAAAAACTAACAGAAATCTTCTTAGAGGGAGAAAACATCGTCATAGGTCTCAAATTACTCCCACAGTTTTTCATATACAGTATCTGGCCCTTAATTAACAATAACAAAGAGATAAAACAATATGAAAAAAGTAAATAAGAAAGACCATTCAAAAGAAATAGTCTCATACAATAATGGGCAAGAGTACGAATTTAAAAAGGAAGAGCATAATATGAAAAGTTAAAATAAGAAAGACTATCTGGAAAAGAAATAGTCTCACAATATGGGGCAATAGGGCACAGAATTTAAAGTAGTATACTTAACATCAAAAAGATTAAAATAGTTTGAAATAAATTTAACCAAGAAAGTGAAGGATCAGCACAATGAAAACTGTAAGGCATTGATGGAAGCAACTGAAGAAGAGTAAGTGGAAAGTTATCCCAAGTTCATGGACTGAAAGAATTAATATTAGTAAAATGTCCATATGACCCAAAGCCATCCATAGGTTCAATACAATCCCTATCAAGATCCCAATAGCATTTTTTTATAGAAGTAGAAAAGAGCAATTCTAAAATTTATATGAAACCACTAAGGACCCTAAATTAGCATAGCACTTCTGAGAAAGAACAACAAAGTGAGAAACATCACACTTCCTGATTTCATAGTATATTACAAGGTGAGAGTAATCAAAACAATTTGTTGCTAGCATAAAAACAGACACACAGACCAAAAGAACAGAATAGAAAGCCTAGAAATAAACCCTTGCATATATGGTCAACTAATCTTTGACAAGTGCACCAAGAATATGTAACGGGGAAATGATGGTCTCTTCAATGAATAGGGCCAGGAAAACTGAATAGTCACATGCAAAAGAATGAAATTGGATCCTTATCTTACACTGCATACAAAAATCAACTGAAAAAATGGGTTAAAGATCGAAACGTAAGATAATGATACCATAAAATTCCTAGAAGAAAACATAGGAGAACAACTCCTTGAAATTGATCTTGGTGATGATTTTTTTGGATTTCATACCAAATACACAGGCAACAAAAGCAAAAATAAACAGGTGAGACTACATCAAACTACAAAGTTTCTACAGAGCAAATGAAACCATCAACAAACATGAAAAATCAATCCGTATGGAATTGGAGAAAATACTTGCAAACCATACATACTTAGGGGTTAATAGCCAAAGTATGTAAGAAACTCATACTCAATAGCAAAAAACCAAACAACCTAGTTATACAATGGGCAAAACACATAAATAAACATTTTCCAAAGTAATAACCAACAGGTATATGAAAAGGTGTTCAACATCACTAAATATCAAAACCGCTATGAGATATCACATTACACCTGTCAGGACAGCTATTATCAAAAAGTCAAAAGAAAACAAGTAGTGGTAATGATAGGGAGAAAAGACATCTCTTGTACACTGTTGGTGGCAATGTAAAAATGGCACAACCATTATGTAAAACATAACTACCATATGACCTAGCAATCCTATTTCTAAGTATATATCAAAAGGTAATAAAACTATCATCCCAAAGAGATACTTGCACTCCTATGCTCACTGCAGCATTATTCACAGTAGCCATGATTTGGAAAAACCTCAATGTCTGTCAACAGATGAAGAAAATGTGATTTTATACACACACACACACACACACACACACACACACACGCACGCACGCACACACAGGCATGCACGCATGCACATGCATGAATGTGATTCATCCTTAAAAGAGAGGGAAATCCTGCTGCTTATAACAACATGAATGAATCTGGAAAACATTATGCTAAGTCAACTAAGCCAGACACAGAAAGACAAATACTGCATAATTTCACTTGTGTGCAGAATCTGAAAACTAAAATCAAACTCATAGTAAAGAGAGTAGAATGGTGGTTACCTAGGCTAAGGGGATGGGGAAAAAAGAGAGATATCAGTCAAGGGTACAAATTTTCAGTTATTAGATAAGTTCTGGAGATCTAATGTACACCATGATGACCATAGCTAATAATAATACACTGTATAGTTGAAATTTCCTAAGTTAGTAGATCTCAAGTGTTCTCACATACATACAAGAAGAGTAATTGTGTGAGGTGATGGATATTATCATGATAGCAGTAATGACTTCACAATGTATACATTTATTAAAATACCATATTATATACCTTAAATATATACAATTTGTACTTTGTATTTGTACAAGTACAAACCTGGGGGAAAAGAGTGGAAAATTAAAAAAACAAGCATGGTCTTACATGAAATGATAATGTGGCCTACACTGAGAAGTAAAATAAAATCAAGTGTTTCAAGGTTCCCAAATGTGTTATAGTTGCAATTTCATTATATGCAATTCCAACTAAAACTACTGTAGTATATCATGCATTATAATAACCAGTCTCTTGTTAATGGTCACTTATGTAGCTCTTTATACAGTATTTCTATAGATGATGCATATAGAATTACTGGGTCAAAGTGCTGAGAGTTTCTACTGAGAAATACTGACCAAATGCTGTATTAAAAGTCTGTGTCCTGCTGCATGTATAAAAGAAGAGAGTAGTATGCTTAAGATTTGAGATTTGGACAAAACAAAAGTTTAGAATTTCAGCTAAGAATAACGGCATATAAAAAGAATTATTCACCATGATCAAGTGGGATTCATTCCTGTGATGCAGGGCTGGTTCAACATTCGCAAATCAATCAACGTGATACATCACATTAACAAAAAAAAAGAGAAGAACCATATGATCCTGTCAATCGATGCAGAAAAGGCCTTTGACAAAATCCAGCACCCTTTCTTAATAAAAACCCTTGAGAAAGTCGGGATAGAAGGAACATACTTAAAGATCATAAAAGCCATTTATGAAAAGCCCACAGCTAACATCATCCTCAACGGGGAAAAACTGAGAGCTTTTTCCCTGAGATCAGGAACACGACAGGGATGCCCACTCTCACCGCTGTTGTTTAACATAGTGCTGGAAGTTCTAGCATCAGCAATCAGACAACAAAAGGAAATCAAAGGCATCAAAATTGGCAAAGATGAAGTCAAGCTTTCGCTTTTTGCAGATGACATGATATTATACATGGAAAA